CGCCCGAACGGACAGCGAGCCGCAGCCACTCACGCCCGAAGGCCGGACCACGCTGAGGAAGGCGACCCCCGCCCTGGCGAAAGAAACGGTGTCTGACAACGTGCCTGGGCCAGGTGCGACCCGCAGCACTCCCACGCTTGACGAAAGTCACGCTGCGACAGACGGGGGCGCGCTCGTGGGCGAGGGCGGGCGCGGGTCTGGCGAGCGTCAACGGGAGGGGCCTGCCCCCGCTTACCACAGTGCAGCAGTCCTTTCAGCCCCAGCTGCTGGAGGCGACTCGGCCTTTACTTGGCGGCCAACCGTGCGGCCCGCGCCAACCTGCAAGTCCCCGCCAGACTTCCGTGCGCCAGTTGCCGCCGCGCCCCGCGAAGCCATAGACGATTCCGGCGGCGGGCCCAACCAGTCGGAACAGTCGCAGAGCAGCGTACGTGAGCAGCATACGGAGCAGGAGCCGGAAGAGCCCGGTGAGCAGGAGCTGCCGGCCGCCCACGGGGAGGGCGCGGAAGTAACGCCAGCGCAGAAAAGGGGGCACGGGCAAGAACAGGAACAGACAACCACCCACCGCCTCACTCCCCTGGCTGACACCACCTGCCCTGGCCCCTCCCTCCCAGGCAAGGGCGCGAGCTCGAGCGCCGAGGAGCACCGGCAGCGCGGCCGGCACGTTCCCCCAGCGCGTCTTCGTGGCAGCGGGTGGACGCCCTGCCTAGCCTCTGTGACTGGCCACCCTCCAGTCTCCCCGCTGCCCCTGGGCCGAAACCTGGCCAGCGACGCCGACCGCGCTGGCGGGTCGGGTGGGCGGCAGACGGCAGGCGGCGGACGCAGCAGCAGCAGCAGCCGCAGAAGCAGCAGCAGGCGCCGCGCCGAGGACCAGCCGCTGACCACCCCGCCCCTGGTTGGGGGTCCCGCCGCGCGTCACTGTCCAGAACCTTTAGACCCAGACACGGGACAGCAGCTATATAAAATGAAAATCGGCGACATCCAGTGGGACCTCCCCGGGGAGACACCTGGCGAGACGATAAAGCTGCTTCAGGCCTCCTGGGAGCGAGGTTCACAGGCGCCTGGCGCGCGTTCGCCAAGCAGCACGCCTCGCCTAGCTGCAATGGCGCGCTCGACCGCGGCGGCACGACCAGCAAACGTGCGTCAACTTCCTGTCGTCCTTCCGCTACCATAACTGTGACGTGCGGGCCATGGACGACGCACTGGACCTCGGCGTTGACTGGGCGCAGGCGCGGCTTCGGTACCTGGGTGAAAGTGACGGCGCGGGCAGGGGGCGCCAGGCGGCGAAGGGCCACGCTGTTCGCCGCGCACCCAAGATGGACCAGAAACAGTGGAAGGTCGTCACCTAAGCTGCGGGAGCGCCCGCCCTTGCTTCACCTCATTTCACTCTGGCCGCCCCTCCTTCCTATCGGCGTGCGGCATGAGCCCAAGCTATCACATTGCCAGCCGCCGGGGCTGTCGGCCACCACCTCCTTTCCCTTTGCCCCCCCCCCCCCCGGACTCCCGTTTCCACCCCCATCTCTGCTTCAGAATGGACGAGCCGGACCGAGCGCATTCCGCCCACGTCCCCGAGAGCTCCCAGCGAGACAGCAGCTTTGATCGACCCAGCAGCCTGGGACGCCCCAAGCGGACGCCTCAGCGCCGTGGTCGATGAAGCGACCAGTCAATTCCCTGGACACTAGCGGGATGCAGCAGAATGGATGTAGATGATGGGCCTTCAGCCCTTCGGGCGACCAGTAATGCAGCAGAGCGAGCCTTCAGCTCGAGACTCCAAGGCACATCCGGCAACCTCAGAGGCGACGAGCCTTCAGCTCGAGATTCGGAGACGGCACCGGCGGTCCTCTGGAGTGCTGCTGGGCGGGCGGGCGCGAGTGGCGTCGGGAGTCGCCGCGCGCCTGCCGCCCTTCCTGGAGTTGACGGCATCGCACACGCAGAGAATGGACCTTCAGCCCGAGGAGCTCCCAGAGAGACAGCAGCCTTGACCGGCCCCGCAGCCTGGGATGCCCCAAGCGGGCCGCTCGGAGCCGAGGGCGATGCATCGAGCAGTCAACTCCCTGGACACTCCTGGAATTCCGAAGACTTTCGTCAGACACCGGCCCCCCAGTCGGACAGTCGCGGAAGTGACGAGCCTTCTTCTCGAGATACTCGCTCTGAACGAGCCTTCAGCTCGAGAGCCCAAGGCGCATCGGGAGGCAGCAGAACGGACATAGAAGACGGGCCTTCAGCCCTCGTAGCGACCTGCGATACAGCAGAACGAGCCTTCAGCTCGAGGCTCCAAGGCACAGCCAGCAACCTTTGAGAAGAGGGCCTTCAGCTCGAGAATCGGAGACAGCCCCAATGGTCGTCGAGAGTGCCGCTGGGCAGGTGGCCACGAGCGGCGACGGGAGGCGCCGCTCGCCTGCCGCCGCTCCTGGAGTTGACGACGCTGAGCACGCAGAGAATGGGCCTTCAGCCCGAGGAGCTCCCAGCGAGACAGCAGCTTTGATCGACCCAGCAGCCTGGGGCACCCCAAGCGGACGCCTCGGCGCCGGGGTCGATGCAACGACCAGTCAACTCCCTGGACACGCCCGTTATCCCGAAGACTTTCGTCAGCCACCCGCCCCCCAGTCGGACCGTCGCGGACGTGACGAGCCTTCCGCTCGAGACTCCCGCGCTGGACGTGCCTTCAGCTCGAGGGCCCAGGGCGTTCTGGGCCACCGCAGAAGCGACGAGCCTTCAGCTCAGGATCCAGAAACAGTTCCAATGGATTTAGAGAGAGGCGCCGAGGCCGTGACCACGAGGGGGGGCGACCTCGACCCTCCTGGGACCCCTGACGCCCTTCTCCCTGGAGGTACGGGCGCCGACACCAGTGTCGCGCCCAGCCCCCGCGCAGCAAACCTCACAGAAGAGACTGGCCTTCAGCCAGGAGGAAGAGACGGGTGAGCCTGGTAGCAGTGGCCGCAGGGAGGCACGCTCTTCCTCTGAAGCGTTCGGTCGTAATCGGCCTTCCCTGGGGACGACGCCTGGGTGGTCCACGGGACTGCCTCGCGCGCCCAACGCTACCAGGATCTCTGCCGATCCCGCTGTCGGGGCCGGTCCCCTGGTTGATCGGGTCGATCTCGCCAGATCTCCGATCGCCGCTGCTGGATCGCCCCGTGCCTCCCCTCCCTCGCCCTCCTGCTCCTCTCCCCTTACCTGCTTGCGGCTTTCTGCCGCCCCCCCTGGCACGCGCACTTCCTGCCTTTGGATACAAGTGCGCGTGCCAGTAATATCGTCCACACGGCAATCTCGGTTGCGCGTGGACCCGGGCCCCCTGGCCTCACTGTAGTTGTTTTCGCCTGCTAGGCCCAGCCTGGCGCGCGGTTGTGGGCGATCCGGCGGTTTTCGTCTGTCCGTAGACTGCGCCACTCCCTGGATTCTACCAGCTTCTACGGCCTTCAGCCGTGCCCCCTGGAACGATGTGGCTGTGAGGGACGCGTCTTGGGCATGCGACGGCCCCGTCCCTCGGGTGCTACCATGCGTAGGCGTGTGGGCGGCGCTGTGTCGCATTGATCGGTGCACTTCTCAGCGACCAACGAGTTCTCACCGTGGGGCTTCGTGCACCTTGCTGCGTTCTGACCAGATCGCTGGCCCCTTGGACCCAGGCGCATCTCAGCAGTGGAAGGTCCTTCCTCGGGCGATTTAGGCTTCTACTCCCTGGATGCGAGTTCTGACGTCGCGACGGTTCGCTGGCGCCGTCAGTTTACTTTTCCCGCTGGACTGCGTCGCCAGCGTCAGTCTGCCCATGCCCGTCAGACTCCCTGGATTGACGTCCCGCACGGAAATCGCCCCCTACCTCTGTTCGTTCGTTTCGTTCACAGTGGGAACGCCTAGCGCGCCATTTTGGCTGCGCTCGGCTCTCCTCGGTGGCTGACCTCTCAGACTCCTGGGATGTGCCGTTGCATGTTCACCTCAGGGGCTGCCCGGCAGTCTCCCTGGTTTTGCACGCCCTGGCTCCTCAGACGCCCTGGGTTGCCGCTGCCCGCCGCCTGACCGCGGCCCCGCGCGCGCCCGCCCCCATCGTCGCGGCCGCGGCCCGACCGTGACCGCCTGCCGCTGGCAAGCACCCCCACCAGCCCATCCAGAAACGACGCCCAGGCGAGTAGAGGTGATCAAGAAAGCGGGGCAGCATACAGAGGAACAAATTGCTGGGGAGGCCGTCGTACCCCAAGGGAAGGGGGGGGTGGAGGAGGAGTCGGAGGCGGAAGAGGGGGAGGATGATGCGGGGGGAGAGGGAAGAATGAGGAGGAGGAGGAATAGGCGGATGATGATGCTGATGTTGATATTGATGATGCTGATGATGACGATGATGGTGGTGGTCTTGACGATGGTGATGGTGATGGTGATGATGATGATGATGATCATGATGATGACGATGGTGATGATGGTGATGATGAGGGGGAGGAGGAGGATAAGGGCGATCAGAAGAGTCAAAGGCCCTCTGAAAGCCTCGCGGAGTCTCTTGGGATGTCTCTTGGGAGCCTTCCGCTCTTTCAGTTGCGACCAAGTTCGTTGCGTGACTCACTTTCGATGTGCAAGTGAGCAAGACAGGAGGCTGGAAGCACAAGTCCACGAAGTCCGGAAATGCGGTTTCTTCACATTTGGGCGAATACACGTTGTTGCACATATGTTTATCATTGTATTCTGCCACATCAGCTCTGCGAGTGCCGAGCAGAGCGTGCATCCACGTCATGGGTGGCGCACAGATGGCATGGTACCTCGTTATGCTGCCCTCGCCCCCATGTACATATGGAGGCCCCCCCATGAGCCGGGGGGCCCCCCATGCGCAGATGTTTCGTCCGGGGACTCCCATGGGCCGCCCCGCGCGCGCGAACTAGAATGTTCTTGATCGCTCTTGTTGTCGTATCGCTATCACTCTTTCTTGTCCCATCTACGTTGGCCCAAGGTTGGATACTGCGGCCGACGCCGCGCACGATCCCACTGGCATGCGCCTTCCAGCAGTTTCTCTCGCGATTCTTTATTTGATGGCGGCTGGGGTTTCCATTGGCCTCCTCGATCGTGCCATCGCTGACGCGCGGCACTTCGTCGGCGCTCTTGAGCCGCAGGCTACTTTCACGGTGAGGTTCGTGAGCCAAGACAAGAAGACGGGCCATAAGTTAGTTGCCAGTTCTGACAGCGGCCGCGCTGTCAGAGCAACTGCCTGGCCTCACCCACAGATCCCACGCGGGGGTGCTCCACTTGTTCGTCAGGCCCCACGGGGGGAACATCATCATGCTCGACGCTGACGTGTCCGTCCTGCCCGATGGCCACGCGGAGTGCTTGGCGATGGCACCTGTGGTCGTTGTGGCCACCAGCGGATGGGAATGCTCAAACCGTCAGCATTGGCACGCCATGGACCCTGCGGGGCTGCGGGGCGGGGAAGGCCGCAACGTCACACTCACCTTGCAGCGCCTGTTGGGCACAGATCCCAATCCCACTGCGGAAGAACAGTTGGGTCGCATGCCGGGGCCCCTTAACGCCAAGCCGCATATGCTATGCACGGCGCAGCTTGTGACCGCGTCGCGAAGTTGCTTCAACGCCGCCCGTTTCTACTCCCTGACCGCCAGGCACACGCCGCGCCTGACCGTCGACGCAGCGGGCGACGTGTCGGCGCAGATACCTCGCGCACCTGCCCAGTACAAGGCGCCATCTGTGGCCCGCGGCGCCAGCAGCTTGGACTGGAAAGCGCGCTGCGAGTTCTGGGAACTGCCCCCGCACGCTTCCCTGCAAGATTGCATCGCGGCCGTGCATTGGCGCAAAACTACAGCGTGGGAACCTTACAGGGAGACGGCCGCTAAGAAGGCCAGGGACAGGGTGCTCCGAAGAAACCCCGCCGCAGACACATCCCCGCCGCCGCCCGCGGCCGCGCCGCAGCCTGACGCTCGCCGCCCGCCTCCGCCGCCAAGTGCGCCGCCGATGCTCGTCGCCCACGCGCAAACTGCCGAACCTTCTTCGGGTTCCGGCGACGCGCAGGCGCCAAGCGGGGCCGCGCCGCCTGCGCAGCCACCAGCCCCGCCCAGGCCGTCGGGGCACGCCCCGGGCGCTGCGGAGCCAGCGCCTGCTACGCCGCCGGTATCTGCAGCCCGCGCGCTCGCGGCCGAGCAAGGCCGCCTTTGGCCCGCGGCGTCCTTCCGTCGTTTCTCGGGCGATGCGGGGCGCATCGACTCGCCCCCTTCCCCCGTTGCAGAGGCCTCGAGCAACGGCCCGCCACGGTCAGGCAAGGCCGTGTCCGAGGGCGGGGCGCCCCCCGACGATGCTGGCGCGTCGCCCCGCCGCCCTCCGCCCCCGCAGCCCGCGGGAGGAGACGGCGCGAGCGGCGACGGCGCCGAGCTGGAGTGCGCCAGAGGAGCGTTCACGTGCGGGGGCTGCGGAGAGCATTTGGCCAAGGCGAGTTTCTCCAAGACCCAGCTCAAGTACGGCGGCGACAAGCGGTGCGTGGATTGCGCTCGAAAGGCACGCCCTGGGGAGGGCGTCTGCAGTGGCCATCGCCCGAGAAAGCTCAAGCAGTGTTCGTCTTGCCGCGCCGAGTTGGGGAAGGCATCTTTTGCCGGATCCCTGTGGCTCTCAGCGGATTACGAGTCCCGCATCTGCAAGGGGCGCGCTGCGAAGCCAGGCCCGCCCCCAGTGCCTGCAGACAAAGTCGACGAGGACATGTTTGAGTCTCGGCCAGAGGCTCTACGATTCATCCTCACCTCGGCAAGCGCGCCCCCTTCTGATGACATCCGCGCCAGCAACGCCGCGCGGACCTTGCACGGCCGCTCTCAGATAACCAGCATCGAGGTCGACGGGGGCCTGGCGGTGGAAGAGAAGCTTGAGCTACTCAAGAAAGCGCGCGATGAGGACCTTCAGCACAGCGGTGGGGCCGATGGACTGCGCCGGGCCCTTGTCGATGCTATGGGGGGCTGGGCGCACCTCGACCTGGGCGCTACCTTCTACGCGACGAGATGCGTTACGCGTCGCCGAAGCACCTCTCGCGGAGCCTGCGTCGCAGACGCGCCGCTCCAACACCTTTCTGGGGAATTGGAGGCGCTGAATGTCGTCGGGCTCGATTTGAAGGCCCTGCCATTCACGCGCGTCAGGAGAGGAAGGAGAGGAGGGGGAATACGGGGAAGGAATAGGTGGAAGAGGGGGGGGGGGAAGGATGGAAAAGGGGGGGGAAGAGGAGTTCGAAGAGGACGAACGGGACGTGGAGGACGAGCTGTCGTCGGGCTCGATTTGAAGGCCCTGCCATTCACGCGCGTCAGGAGAGGAAGGAGAGGAGGGGGAATACGGGGAAGGAATAGGTGGAAGAGGGGGGGGGGGAAGGATGGAAAAGGGGGGGGAAGAGGAGTTCGAAGAGGACGAACGGGACGTGGAGGACGAGCTGGAGGGCAGGAGGCGGGCAGAGGACGAGGAGGAGGAAGAAAAGGAAACGGAAGGAGGAGGGCGGGGGCGGGATGGCGAGGGACGTTCGTTGGAGGCTAAAAAAGCGGAGGAGGAGAAGGGGGGGGAGGGGGGGGGGGAGGAGGAGGAGGATGAGGAGGAGGATTGGGCCGGGAGGGGGAGGAGGAGGGGGGGGGGGAGGAGGAGAAGCAGGGGCACGAGAGGAGGAGGAGGTGGACGAGGAGGAGGAGGAGGAGGGGGATAAGGGGGAGGGAGGGGAGGGGGGGAGGGGGGGGAGGAGGAGAGGGAGGAGGAGGAGGAGGCGGAGGAGGAGGCAGAGGAGCAGCAGCATCACCAGGAGGAGGAGCAGGAGGAGAAGCAGGAGGAGGAGGGGGGAGGGCGGGGAGCACGAGGGGGGGGAGGAGGAAGAGGAGGAGGATGAGGAGGAGGAGGAGGAGGAGCAGGACGAAGAGGAGGGGCAGGGGGAGCACGAGGAGCAGGAACCGAGGAAATTCGTTATTCCGCCAAGGCAATGCCGTCTTGGACGTCACTCGTGCAAGTAGATTTCGCCAGCGGGAAGTTGTGGGCCAAGGACTTCGACGCTGCGCCTTCGGAACAGGAGTCCGCGAGTTTGTCTGGGGCGCAGTCTTTCCTGCTTGACTGGGCGATGTCCGTGGTCAACCACGCCCCGACAGCGTGGTGGAGCGACAACGGGGGGCAGTTCAAATCCGTGATCAACGCACTGATGGAGAACACGTTCGGCACGGTCCCTGTGTTTATCCCGCCGGGACATCCAGCGCCCAACGGCATGACAGAGAGGATGAACGGTGTCTTGGGCCGCTTGGCGAACGACCGGTCGAAATTGCAATCAGCGACCACGGCTTTTGAACAACGCCTCCAGGGGTGGGCACTCGTGCTCCCCAGAGGTGCTTTATCGTTTGCTTCTCCCTCGCCGCAGCACGCTCACGCACCGGGCGGTTCGGCAGCAGACGCAGGCCACGGGGGCCGCGAGCGCCCAGGTCGATCGGGGCGCATTCCTGGCAGCCTACGCAGAGATGGTGGAGAAGATGGAGGCCGATGGGGCGCCGCAGCACTTGATTGACGACCACGTCACCCAAGTCAACGCGATCCGCGACGCGACGTCCTCCAGGCAGCTGCGGATAGACATTGGCAGCCGGCTGCAGTGGTCGAGGAATTCGCCCAACAGGGGCATGGTGTTCTACACGGGCGACGTCGCGTGGATCCGGAAGAGTCAGGTCATGCTCCTTTCCATTCATCTCGACAGAATCCCCGCTGCCATTTCAGTTGTTCCCTCCCTTCTTCGAAGGCCAAAACAGCAATTCCCAGTGACTTTGCTTGACATACGCTGGCGACTTTGGCGCGTGCGAAGGAGCCCCAGAGGAAACAGGGATGTCGTTCGTGACAGCGTCGGCCTGCCCCGTGCGGTTGGTCGTGGCAGGTCCTGAAGAGGATGGCCAACCACGCGCCGAAACGCTGAGGGCGAACTGGACCAGGGGCGCCGCATAGTTGGGCATACTCAGTCCGAGACCAAAGGGGGATCCCAAGACCAAGATAATGCCGATCATAGTGCGCTTGTGTTGACATGTAGTTGCTTTAAGAATCTTTCCATTCAGAGCTGACATGATGTTGCGCTTGTTGTGATATGACCGGCAAATAACGATTTCGGCTCCTAGGGCGCCGGCGTCAGAACACTGTTGACTATCCGAGTCACTGATCGCATAAAGGATCTCACATCCATTATGCCCCCGATCGCGGTCTCCAGCTACGCTAACCTCAGTGGGCCCACGGCCAAATTGTATAGCTATATGGTTCGCATGTATTGTTGTTGCCGCTACACGATATCTCGGGCACCGGTCCCCTTCGAACTGGTCTTGGGACCTTTCCTGCTCTCCCTTCCCCCCCCGCTTCCTCGTCGCCGCGCTGGGCGCAGCTCTGAAAACTGTTCGCGTCGCCCTCCCGTTATCCTCCTTCTCTCTTGCTGCCATTCCACCAGTGATCACGAGTTGCGCGGGAGACTTCGGGGGATCTGACTTTGAAAACTTGGCCGCGCTTCAATCCCGAGCCAGGGGGGCGAGATCGGCCCGAAGGTCGATGCAAAACCTTCCGCATACCCGGGCACTGCCCCCCTTCGCAAACCTGAAAGCAATTATCCGTTCTGCCCGCAGGTCGGCGCGAAGGACATCCACGATAAGTACGAGGACGGGTCGTTCGAGATCGTTGGCGCCGCGGGGCCATTGCTTGAGGTCGAGCGCAAGGGGGCCGAGCCGGGCCAGTCCAAGGCAACGGGCCGGGCCATCCACGGGGACAGCGCTCGCTCGGCCGTCGTGGACATCGCCAGCTCCCAGGCAGATTCCGCGCGGCCGCCGCCGCCCCCAGCGCGGAGGCGCACGGGGGCGTTGCCCAAGGTGATCAACATTCCTGACGACGGGCGCTGCCTCTTCAGCGCCACCGCCTACGCCGCTAAGGGGATCAAGGGGGGAGTGCCCGGCGCGGAGCGGCTTTCCGTCATGGGCCAGGCATGCCGGCAGGACATTGCCGCTTGGATCGATGAGCACCGCTCGCACTTCGTGGGCGACGTTTCCATCGAATTCCCCCTTCGGACCGAGCTCGAGGACGACCCCCGCTTCGATGCGAGCGCCGAGCGGGCGAAGATCGCGCGGTTCATCCGGGCCCCGCGGTACTTCGCCAGCGGAGTGGCCATGTGCGCCATGGAACAGTTGCACCCTGCGTCCATCACGTGCTACGAGAGGGGGGCCCACGGCTCGCGGATGATGCGACCCTCCAGAACCCTTCGAGAAGGCGCCGTCGCCGTGCACTTGCCCCACAAGAGCGGCGACCATTACGACCTCTTCCGCGAAGCGCCGTGCGTGGACCCGTTGGCCCCGTCATTTCTGGCCCTGTGTCGGAGGCCGTCTGGTCGAACAGTCGGCCCCCGCCAGTGCCGGCGTCGGCTCCTGCTCCCGAGGCGAAGAGGCGACGTTTGATGAGCAAGCAATCGGCCGAGCCATCTCGGGACACTGTGCTGCGGACCGCTGACGGGATGAGGGGCGCGAGCAGCGGGGGCAAAACGAAGGTCATCAAGGACCTGAGGCGGCAGGGCTTCGCGGAAGCGGCTTCCCGGAGGTCGCTCAAGAGGCTCTGCGATGAGAAAGCTGTTTTTCCTTCGCAGACCAGGCGCTCGCTGCGTAATAGCAGTAGGAAGTGGAGAGCCTTGAGGGCTGACAAAGCTCAGGTAGCCGCAGCGAAGATACCCGAGGCTTCGCCTCATGCTGCCGACCCCCGTCATCTTCATTGGCAAAATGGCAACGGCTGTTTGGTGTCAAACCAGAATAGGAGCGCGCTGCCGTGCGCCCGCGCATGGACGTCGGCCGGCCGGCCTCATCCCTTCCCGTGCTTCTTACCATTTGCTATGCGGATTGCCCATTGTCTTAGCCATGGCTTATCCCAACCCCTCTTTCGCTGATCACGTAGCCCACGATATCAGTGTTGGAGATCACGAGCCCAAAGTTCCTTTGGCATCTTACCACGATTCGCATAGGAAAGACTATCACAAATGCGCGATCACGGCCGCCTCGGCGGGCATATTTGCCACGACCCCGCATCAACCGTCTTGCAAGCCTAACGCCACTACACCGCGCAGGGAACTGGTCCCCTTCGAACTGGCTGGTTCTGTTCGTGGGCGGGTTGGCTGGCTGGCTGGCCACGTGATCTGCGAGCGGTTCGGTTCGGTGAGCTTGGGGGTCGCAGTGGGGGACCTGCGGGCGTTTCACTTGCAGGCGTTCCATATTTTCATGCATCCATGTTTCCATATCTCCACACTTTCCCGCGCGGCTGGCAGGCGCGCCTCGCCGCCCCAGACGACCGCCAGCGGGCGGCGCAAAACAATCCAACCTCATGCGTCGCGCTTCTCTTATCCTGTCCGATTCATGATGTTTGATATTTGCCCCCTGCCCTTTTCCCGCCCGCCGCCGCCGCTGTCGCCGCGAAGAGGCGGGAAACAATGGGAGACAATGGGCAGGGGGAGGACGAGGAGGAGGAGGGGGACGACGACGAGGAAGAGGAGGAGGACGAGGAGTAGGAACAAGAGGCAGGAGGAGGAGGAGGACGACGGGGAGGACGAGGAGGAGGACGAGGAGCAGGAACAAGACGCAGGAGGAGGACGAGGAGGAGGAGGAGGAGGAGGAAAAATAAAACAGGAGGTGGAGGAGGAGGAGGGCGAGGAGACGGCAGGATGAGAGGGCGAGGAGGAGAAGGAGGAGGAACGGAGGTGGAGGAGGAGAAGAAGAGAAGGAGAGGAGGAGGAGGAGGAGGAGGGGGAGGAGGAGGAGGAGGAGGAGGAGGAAGAGGAGGAGGAGGTGGACGAACAGGAGGAGGAACTGGCACTCCTGTTGTTCGCACTGCTGGGCTCGTGGCCACAGTGCGAGAGGCCGCGGCGCAGCGCCCAAGAGCCGCTGTGGGCGGGGTCGACGGCGCGGCCGCGCGCAGTGCCGCCGTGTTCCGGCACGGCTCTGGGATGCAATGCCGCCGCCCCGTCCTGGTAAGATTCGCGCGTCGGGGCTGGGGCTCGCGCGTGCTGGGAGCGCGCCGCTTACGGAGGGGCTGCGTCCTTACCGGGGGGGGTCCTGCAGCCTACCAGAGGAGTTCGCGTTTGCCGGGGGGGTTCGTGCAGGCTCGCACCGGGAATGGTTTAC